AAGATCACCACTGGGGTGTGGAAGGAACTTTCTTAATTAAGGAATTCCAGAACACTCCCAACTCGTGGCTCCATGAGTTGTGGCAGAGAACCGTTATATCTAGGGTAGGCTCGTAAGATGTCCCCTCCATGGACAGTTGTTAGCACGGTGGCCCAGAAAAGGTCATGTAGGTTCTGTCGTGGAGCAACGTCCCTGGTGTAGGTAGGTACCCCAGAGTGGGTGGACGTCAGCAAACACCACCCACCAGTCCCGAGGACCCAAGAACTATCAAGTGCTTTAGAACAGATGGGCTCGCACCAAGGATGTTTAAGGCAAAGGATAAAGAATGTCCCATACTTTATCCCATAAAGAATGCAGCTCATACTTGGAAATTGAATAGACTGCGTGGCTGGGGTCTGGATATTTCAGTCCACGGAGAGTGACAGGCCCTGGTCACACCACGGTTAGTACTCACAGCTCTACCTGTAGCGGCTCCTCTTTCAACGTATCGAGCTGAAGTCATCTGTCATTGTTACGTATGAAGAGTCACATATGAAGTGAAAGTTACAACTTAGAAAAGGGAGATCTAGATCGTTTTTCAATGCCTGTGATTATGCACATTTTAAGTTTAATGAGAGGCAAGACCTTTGTCCAGCAACCTGGAACCTAAGTCTTCAAGAGTTTAGGACAGTGATCAATAGATGAATGGATAAAGAAGAGGTGGCATATATGTACGACGGAATATTACTCAGCCATAAAAAAAGAAAAATGGAATCTTGTCATCTGCAACAACATGGATGGACCTAGTGGGTCTTATGCTAAGTGAAATAACTCAGACAGAAAGACAAATACCATATGATTTCACTTATGTGTGGGATCTAAAACCCAAAACAAAACGAACAAACAAAACAGAAACAAACTCATAAATACAGAAAATAAATTCATGGCTGCCAGATGGGCAGGGGGTTGGAGGCATGGGGGAAAAAGGGGAAGAATATAAATATATAAAAATAGTCACGGAATATAAAGCACAGCACAGGGAACATAGTGAATCAAATCACAATAACTCTATATGGTGCCGGGTGGGTCCTGGCCTTACTGAGGGCTTAATCATTCCATAAGGTTTATAATTGTCTCATCGCTATGTTGCATACCTGAAACTAATATAATATCGTCTGTCAACTGGAACTAGAAAATAATTTTTAAAAGAGTTTAGGGCATGGGATAGAGGGGACCCCACAAGGACCACCAAACCATGGGCACGACAGGTTTCCAAGCCAGCCGGAACCCTGAAGATAGGCGGCTTTATGAATAGAGCAGTGACTTCTGCTCTGCAATCCCTGACTCCAAAACCCAGATCTGAACTACCAGAAAAGGTGAGAGGGGGCAAAGCAAAGGAGGAAGAAAAGGAGGAAACGGAAAACAATTGGGGGGGAAAAAAAAAAAAAAACCTCTTCGACAACTCGATAACCTGGAGTACAAGGTGATCGGCACCGGAGAGCACACAAAAGCCCAAAGGCAGGTCCCAGGACGGGTCAACTCAAGACTTAATATTTGCCTTTCGCTGAGCAAACTAATAAATCCCCTAGAGTTTTAGCCACGCAGAGCTCCCAGTTTTTATTTATTGGTCAAAACTGCAGGCAGGTTTTTTTTTTTTTTCGCCCTCCCAGTCACCCTGGGCAAATAGTAGCCACTCTGCCCGCCCGTCATCAGTCTGTATGTCTGTTTGCATTCCCCGTTAACCAACTCATGTTCAGTGCAACTGACGAGTGCAAACAGCTTTGAAGTATTCTTCGGTAAAGGACTTCCCAGGACACCGCTGTTTGGGGCTCGTGCCGACGACGGCAGAGGGAGAAGGAGCCACTTGTTGGAGGACAGGCAGATGTCATCAGGGTCAGGCGGGGCTCAGAACTTGACACATAGGAGGGACCTTAAGGGATCCTCAAGGCCAACCACATCACCTTCCTCTCCCATTTCATAGAGGAGAAAACTGAGACCCAGAGGAAAAACTTGAGTGACTTACACATGACCTTGGAACAAACCGAAGCTAAGGCAGGACTAGAGTGCAGGCTTCCGGCACCCTACCCCACCCCCAAGTTCAGGCCTCTTTCCAGACTCGGACAGAGATGGGCTCCCTCTGCCTGCTTTGTCTCCAAAGTAGAAGTAGGGGGAACCAGCTCTGCTTTCCAATAGCTTGGCATAAAAGAGTCTTGTCAGGTCAAGGTCAGTGGCCATTCCCAAGGTCACCTTTATGCCCTTTAAATCATATCCTCCTGAGCAGAGGGACTTAACTTCACCATTAGAACCTCCTATCTTTCTGTCAACACACAAGATTGCCGGTACCATTGAAAAGGGAGAAAAGTCTCCTCATGGGTCAAGTTTCAATGCCATGGAAAAATCTCAGAGGGAAACATGACGAAGTCTTGGGGCAGGAGGGCTCTACTTTGGGATTAAGTGATGCTCATAATGAAATTAACGCAAGATCACTGCTCATGTGGATGAAATACTGTTACGTTGTACCTTGCGCAATGGCTAATGTAATATTCTCATAGGAAACAAAAAAGATCAAATCTTCAGGTCGTGAACTCTATCAAATATGATAGCACTGTGGATGTCAGAGCTAGAAGAGCTTTGGGGATATGTGTCCCGAGTCCTTCATTTTACATGGAAGGAACCAAGACGAAGGACTTTCTGACACAAAAACTCAGGTCCCCTTGTCTCCTCGCTCTGTGCTTTTTTTTTTTCAGCATAAGACATACTACCAAGATCCAGAAATGAGACTGGTACATGCTGGGGAGAGAGCAAAATGCGTTCGCTCAAAATCCCATTAAGAAACTGACCTTCATGGCCACTTGGCAGCCCACGAATTGTTCTTCAAAATTCTACGGCTTCCCCATCAGGTCGAATGTCATTCGACCTTCTCTCACAGTCCTCTCTCACTCTGCCAAAAAGGCTGACGTTGGAAAGGGGATTCCTGCATCAGAGGTAGATCTAGATAAGAGTGATGCTTTAGACAACTGCATTCTGGGATTCTGGGATTCAGTGTGGATGAGAAGATAAAAAAAAAAGAGAGAGAGAGAGAGAGAAATAGATTGTTACTTTTGGCACAACTCTGGAACTTCTGGAACCAATGACCATATGCGAAACACACACGAAGGAAATACCTAAAAAGAGTTCATCTTTTTAAAAAGAAAAATGCTAATTCCTTCCATGGCAGTAAGACAGTGAGAGTCAGAACAGGGGCAAAGACCCAGGTGCATCGGGACGAGGGGAGGGGGTGTCTCAACCTCGACACATGAATCACGTAAGCGAAGAGTTTCTAGATGTTTGCATGCTCATCTCTACCCTAGCGTGCAGTGGCCTCTCTGTGGCCACACGAGACGAGGGGGATCGGCCGAAGGCTCGTTTTAGATCTGCAGACACAGCCGTCCTGCAGCAGAAGAGATGGTGGCTTGATCCCCTGGCAAGCAGCGATGACATTAGCGTGGCACGAATCCCGAAAGCCTGGCTTTGACGAACCTGAAAAGAACCTGTAATTTGCCTTCGGATTGTTCTCACTTGTCATGAGCACAGAAAACTGGGCTGGCACCACCTTCCTGTCCCCCTCACCCTCCCCCACTGCCACCATCGTAGTCTGCTCCTTTCTCCTGGATCAGGTCAGTGTCTGCAAAGGTCAGAGCGAGCCCGGAGGTCCCGTTCAGCAGTATCTGAGTTGAACTCAAAAGTTATCTAGACTTTAGAGAGAAGGTACACACTTAAGCTCAATTTACATGCCCTTGATATTTTAAGGGATCCTGTAGTTCAAAGGAATTTCAGAAAGTCCTTGAGCCAACTCCTTTGCTCTCTAGACAACATGATAGCAAAGATTTTAGCTCTTAGTCTCTCTAATTTTCTTCCTG